ACATTTTTTGACTGAAACTGTAAATTTTAATGTTTATTTTGTCATCTTTTAAATTTAAGGAGTGCCTGTAGAAGAAAATTTTCTAGGGAAACCAATGGAACCACTCTTATAGCCTCAAAGTTTTGTATAGATGGAATTACAAGCGTTTAAAGTTTCCAAATTTTGTCCGACCTCTCCTATTGAAACAATCCAATGTGCGTCGTTTCCCGCACGAAGGAACGTACCTCCATTCCAAGGTTGTGAAATTGACTCAAACAAATACATTTTTGAGGAGAATAAAGTTGCATAATTTTTGTCGAAAATTTGTCAGATTTTTGCAAGAAGTCCAAAGAAAAATTGGTGATATTTTCAGTCAGAAATCCTCCAAATTCTCCTGGTAAAAAGCAATTTTCACGGAAATATTGGGCAACATTGAAATGGAGTTACGTTTTTTTGTGAGAAACGGCGAACTTACAATTCAATTTTTTACGAGAGTTAAGTTGCATAGTTTTCGTCGAACGCTTATCTGATTTTTGCATGTGATCAGAAGAAAAATCGCTGAAATTTTCAGTTAGAAATCCTTAAAATTCTTGTGCTAAAAATGCAATTTTCACAGAAATATCCAGCAACATTGAAATGTTAGTAAATTATTTCGATAGAGAAACGAAGCACGTGTCATTTTTATACTCAAAATTCTCCCGGTGAAAATGCTATCTTTACGGAAATATCGGGCAATATTGAAATGTAGTTACGTTCTTTCGAGAGAAACGACAAACTTGTCATTTTTATAGTAAAAATTCTCAAAAATATAGTTTCCACGGCAATATCTGGCAACATTGAAATGTAGTCGTGTTCTTTCATGAGGAACGACGAACTTGCCATTTTTATACTTGAAACGAATTAAAAAGAATCGTTGCTCTTACAGTACTCATTGTGGATCTCAGAGCTAACCTAATTTTCTTTTAAGCTTCTTTCTTTCATTTTTCTCTACAAAACCATTCTATTTGGCATCTAGGACATATAAATCTGTACGTATAAACCACGCGGTAAGAGCGGGGCCTAAATATCATTCAAATCGGCGCTGACGGAATTTTAATTCGGAGCTTATAAGTTATTCCAAGCTCGATTTTTGCGGAACATATCAATCGTCTAAAAAGCGGAGCTGCAAAATGTCCTCATATAATATTCCATGGCCAAAATCTGTCACCTATCACTATTATCCCTCTGAATTAATTTTGGATCTTGGATTCTACGCAACACAAATATATTTTGTAGCTTGCCTAAAACACATGGTGCACCACATTGTTTTCTCCAAATTTTATATTTTTGGGGATCAGTTATTCAAAAAAAGAGAAAGCCAATGAAAAATAGCAAAATCACGAATTTACGGGAAAATTTTCGAATAATTCTCCTCCAGTTTTACAGAGGATTCCTTTCCTAATTTGATCTAAAAAGTCTGAAAATTGCAAGGACAAATATTGCTAAAGATGTTCTTACAACTTTTCTCCTTAGCACGGCATTATTTGTCTATAGCAATAAACAATAAAAACACGCTAAAATACAAAAAAACAAATGGGTCTACAAGGCAAGAGGAGCCTTGTAGGATCCTCTAGCCTTTGTATACCCATTTGTTTTTTTGTATTTTAGTGTGTTTTTATTGTTGTCTGCATTCGGGCTACTGTGTCTCTCGCTTTTTTGTCTATAGCTTTGTCTATCAATTTCAATAATCGGTCGGCAGGTATGATTCTTTCGAGACAACTTTGACAACGCGCTGGGCCGGGCTCGCGCGACGCGGGTGTACATTTCGGGGCACGAGATCGGGGAGCAAATCGTTTAATCTGCAGGCGCTGTTTTCAATAAGACGGAAAAATATACCATTCAATGAGGCCCGGTCGCTCCGACTTTTATTATTCACGCCGCGAGGCACGATTGCCATTCCAGGCTCGTGCCGCGATCAAGCGAAAGCCCTGTCGTTGGCAAAATTGAACGTCCATTCTGCCATGCTAAGGAAAAACGCCGTATAAACATTCGCGAGTCACCGAATTTCCTCTCGGAACATATTAACTTTTGAAGGAAGTTATGAATATTAAAATAAAGGGGTTGAAAATTAAAAACTCAACCTTACCTCAATTAATTAAAAGTATAGTACTACGTAAGGTGGAGAAATGGTGCTGGGTCCACACCATTTCGTGGGGAAAACAAAGCCAAGAAGTTCCAAAAATTAAAATTAGAGTCAAAATTAATTTTTTTGAACTCTAATGCGCACCAATGCGCACCTCAAAAAAATTATTTTGACTCTAATTTTAGTTTGTGGAACTTCTTGGCTTTGTTTTCCCCACGAAATGGTGTGGACCCAGCACCATTTCTCCACCTTGTTACATACAGTTCGGGCCACTTCTTAGTTTTTTTTTTCTTCTTCATTTGTACTACGTAAGTAAGTACAACGTTACGTAGTAGTAAGTATAGTAACAAGGTGGAGGAATGGTGCTAGGTCCACACTATATTGCGAGGAAAACAAAGCCAAGAAATTCCAAAAATTAGTCAATCAGAGTAAAAAAAAATGGCTCTATTTTTTGGCTTTTTTAAATAAATTTTTGACTCTAATTGACTACTTTTTGGAATTTCTTGGTTTTGTTTCCCTCGCAATACGGTGTGGATCCAGCAACATTTCTTCGCCTTGTTAGATATAGTTCGAACCACTCATTAGTGATTTTTTTTTCTCATTCGTAAGTATAGTAGGTGTTGTACTTTAAAGTGTACCACTTACAGTTGTGTTTCTAATGTTTGACTCCTTTATTTTAAATCTGACCTCAATGTTTATTAGTCCCGGTTTTTACAGTTTTATGTCATGAATGTCTTTTGATGAAATTTTCAGATACGTTTGATCAAATCGTCACCTCCCGGCCACAGTATCACAAGCGCCAGGCGACGTTTAAACATTTCCGCCGTTCTTTTTACTTTTTTGCAGAGAAATTGTTCAACGAAGCTGTCCGAAAATTTCGCTGAATTTTCTTCGCGCTGTCGATACAAGTTCAGTGAAATTTCCGAACAGATTAAACCGACAATTTCTCTGTAAAAAAATAAAATGGCGGCAGGAATTTTGGAACGTCGCATGGCGCTTGTGAAACGTTGGCCGGAAGGTGACGAAATTACGGGCAAGATTTTTGAAAAATCGGGAGAAAAATATTCATAAATTATCCCGGAAATTTTTGATTTGGCTATGTTTGAAGGCTCCTACGGCGTTCTTCTTTAGCACGACGGCATTTGAGAGGAAGAAAAAAGAGAACAAGATTGAAAAGTCAATCCAAGGGCAGTTTTCATGTGGGAGATATTTGGACGTCTCTGCTCTCTAATGAATCGAAATCGTTTAAATGAGAAATAATAAAATCGCGGAGAGGAAACTTCCTGAAAATAGTATTTTCTGGTCCTTTTTCTGAGAGCCTTGGAATTGCATCGATACATTGCTAAAAATGGGCAAACCCTGGTAAAAATTGGCGATAGGAACTGCGTTTCAAAATACCATAGGAGTTCTGATAGCCGACTGAAGAAGGCGATAGAAAATCATATAGCTGGCTGTAGAAAGTGGAAAAAAATCATACGGCCGGGCTACACGAAGCGATAAAAAATTGAACAGCCGGGCTATAGTTCCTGTCGGCGGGCTTTACACTTTATCACCTGGCTGTTGCTTTTTCGCCATCGGCTATAAAAGGCTACAAGAAATTGTGTAGAAATTCGTGTGCTTTGGAAATCATCAAGTTTGTACGGAATCACCATAATATTTACAAAACGCACATTATATTTTCCTTTGTTTATACATATTTGTTATCATCAATTAAAATTAGAATAATCCATACAGAGTGTGCAAACATTTCAAAGGCATGAGTTGAACAACGCTGACTCCACGAGATTAATATTAGAACCGAACACAAAGCGGAGCGGCGGCGCTTTGGCGCCTACAAACCTAACAGGGATACTTCACGCACTGCGCAATGCGTGAAGTATCCCTGTTAGGTTTGTAGGCGCCAATGCACGTTTCGCGCTGGCTGCCCGCCCGCCGCGCTGCGCCGCAGCGTACCACGGCGCTTGAAGTAACTATTTCACACCAGAGGTATTGTACAGTATCTTACGAAATTGAAGGCGCTCCAACATAGGAATGGCAGGCATCCTTCAAAAGTACGGAGCTTCCCTCGCAAAATAAATCAAGATACTACGGCCCAAAAATAGAGCGGTAGTCCAAAAACTCACCAAGTCCTAGCATCCGTAATTAGTAACAGATAGCATACACTTTATCGTCAGGCTGTTGCTTAATCGCCATCGGCTATAAAAGGCTATAAGAAATTGTGTAGCCGGCTATAGAAGCTATTGGAAATCTTACAGTCGGCTGTAGGTCTATGGTATTTTGGAACACAGATTCTACTGCCAATTTTTACCGGGAATTGCTGCTAAGTGGAATACTAGAGACGGGTAGAAAATATGGGGTGTGCTCTAGAAAGCTGAATAAGAAACAATGTAAAGGTGGACGTGATTCCTTCCGTGGAAATGGAAAAATGAAATTTTATATGAAACCAATGACACAATGAAATTGTATACTAAATCTGCAACGTCGCAAATCGAAATACAAGTTTCTTAGCTTCCATCTGCGAAATGATTAATTGCCCACAGAGGTTACCCGACTTTTTTAATACTACATGTTCCACGATGTGAGCTTAGATGTGTTCCGCATTCTAAGCACACGAGGATCAAGTCCAGTATCCCCGCGGTTTAAAACGCCTTCAAATAGTCGGTTATGCAAAATGACTCGAAAATCTTCATGATGTGAATCTTCATGCTGTTCAATACAACCGTTTTCATTTTACATCACTTATCATATAGGCAATGAATATTTTCGTAAAATGAAAATTTGTTGTTGTGTACCATTTGTACACGACAATCCACATACTGATGCCTTCATCTGAACTTACAGTTAACGTTTATGAACATTTGCTCTCATTCTGACAGTTTTTATGTTTTCTCTGTTACAGAAAACCGTGCTGGTCCGTCCAATCTAGGCAATGTGATTAGTCAGATTTTACTCTGCAAAACCATAGCACCTGATTTCAATCAAGAAGAAATTCATAGTATAGCAAAAGATACCCAAGAACTGAGCAGGATAGTGTCCGAGATGCAGGAATTTATCCCGCAACAAGACAGCTCGATAGGTCAGTACCTGTCCTCTACCTAAAATCAGCCGAGAAGTTCAGCCTTCGTTACTGAAGTATATCACATCGATATATTTAAACTTTCTAACATTCGGTGGACTATTTTGGGCAAATGCAAATTCCAGTCTCTAGATATATCAATCATTAATATTAAGATTGATTTATGGATTGCATTTTGCAAAAAGGAACCATAAACATTCCAATGTCGCTAAGATTGTGCAACTTTGTTTACCTTGAAAATATAAATTGATTATCTAAACAAGTTGTATCTTTACTCCCAATAAACCGTAAATTCAATCCGAAAATTAACATGGTCTATTTATTGCAAGGTTACAGTAATTTTATTACGAGGAATATAAGTTGCACAATCCTAGCAACATTGAAATGCTCTTTGATCCTTCTTGCAAAATGCAATCCATAAGAGGCTGAAATTTTCATTTTTCCAAAATAGTCCACCAAATGTCAAAAAGTTTAAATATATCGATTTTGCCCAGCGCTAAAAGACTCTTGCACTAAAGCTGAGTACACATTAATTTCCCACTCCATCCAAGTGTCCATTCGCTTGACCTAGTCTGTCAGACTCAGATCGTAGGAATCCGAACATGTGTCAGGCGTATGTGTGAAGACGCAATCGGGAGAGGAAACAAAAGAAGAAGAAAAAAGACGACGACGAAGGAAGAGAAGAGAGAGAAGAAGAAGAGGAAGAAAATGGTAAAGAGAAATAGGAGGAAGGAAAATAACAAAAGAAAGAATAATGGAAAAAAGGAGGGATAAGTAACATCGTCTTCTTCATTCGTTTTACCCTCGTATTCTTTTTCTTTCCCTCCTTTTTCTTCTTCTTGTTCTTCTTATTCTTTTTCCTCTTTTTCCTCTTTTTCCTCTTTTTCTTCTTCTTATTTTCTTCTTCTTATTTTTCTTCTTATCCTCTCCCTTCCTATTATTCTTTTTTTTCTTCCTCTTTTTCTTCTTTTTCTTCTTTTTTTCTTTTTCTTCTTTTTTTCTTTTTCTTCTTTTTTTCTTTTTCTTCTTTTTTTCTTTTTCTTCTTTTTTTTCTTTTTCTTCTTTTTTTTTCTTTTTTTTCTTTTGTTTTCTTCTTACTCTCCCTCTTCCTCTTATTATTTGAAGTTACGTTTTCCACTTTGGTTGGGAGCTTATTTTCCCAAAACTCTCCATATGCCCACGACCTCATTGTTATTCAATCTCATTCAGTTATGGCAAGCCTTGGGCTAAAGTTGCAATCCTGGATCCGCTGGCAGGATGGGAGGAACCTTCGGTTGGCCCCTCGGCAAACGCAGTGGGGATTCTTGAAAGTTGGCAGCACTGTTTTTACTCCATTTAAATGAATGTAAAACAATCGATTCATGATGAGCCAGCATGCCTCACCTAAAATCGATATTTTTAATGGATTTAAATGGAGGAAAAACAGTATTGCCAACTTTCAAGAATCGCGACTGATCGGTGCGACCCGACGGTGAAAATGGAAAAGCTTGTATTTCAATTTGTTAATATGCAGATTTTTTCATGATCATTATACAGAATGTTCCGAAGATAAACGTGAATATTACCAGATTTTGTAAGTTGGCAACATTGTTTTTCCTCCATTTAAATGTATGTAAAACAATCGCTATTTGGTGAACCAGTTTGCCTTACCTAAAATCGATATTTTTAATGGATTTCAACGGAGGAAAAACAGTGTTGCCAACTTGGAAAATCGCCGCTGGGCGAGCGCTGGCCGTGGCCGTGGCAGTGACAGATTAAATTTTCCGTGCGTCATCGTGGACAACCTGAGGGAATGCACTCGTCGACGATTGTTATTTCGGCCGGAGACAAATGAAAAAATAATGACGTCGCGTGGACGGGGTGCTTGAGCCCATGCTCAACTTGTCGCTGTAAAATTTCCCTCCGCCGCGCAGTGGTACATGTCGATGGAGGAGGTCGAACTTTGAGAAGAGTACGGAATAGAGTCCTATATACTGATAGTATAGACAATGCGAATCCATTTCTGATTGGTTCTCGTATTTTAGGCCTTCATAGTGTCATAAACGGGAAGAAAGATTACATTTTCGTCAATCGCAAAAATTATAAACTGGAATGGATTGAGGAATTTTGGGTATGGCAAGGAACAAATGGAATGAGAGAGGGAACGGAGATAGAAATTCGGGAATGGGTTGATCAAAGATTACAAAAAATATACAGTATTCAAATGCACATACAATTATTTTACTCTATAATCGACAATTTTTTGGTGGGAAGAAAAAACTGTTCGTTGTTCTGGGAGATGTTTTAGATAGTTATGAAGAAGCAACATTTTAAAAACACTGTAATTACGATGGTTCCTTTTTGCTAAATGCGATCGATATATTCTATATTCAATAATTCGAAACGTACAAGTGGGTATCCGTTGGTTTCACTCGTTAAATGCCCATTGCAAACACCCCTTAAAATTTATTGGTGGGATGTGCCTGGATTAACACCAAAATGTGCAGTTTTAGGGAAAAAATTTCATGTTCGACCTTTCTCAATGGATCGTCTCACTGTGCGACAGTCCGTCGCCGCGAGCGACACTCGCCCCAGTCGAAATGCAGGTCAAGAGATGCACAAATTACTTTGCCGCCTCCTCTCCTGCGCCTCTACAGAAAAATTGTCTAGGGGCCCAAAAGCTCACCGCCAGGCTAGTGTTTTTGAGAAGCTGTTGCGCTCCGCGTCGGTGTATCGGTGCTAGTGGCGATTTCCCAAGTTGGCATCACTGTTTTTCCTCCATTTAAATCCATTAAAACTATCGATTTTCCATTTAAATCCATTCAAATCCATTGAAACTATCGATTTTCCATTTAAATCGATTCAAATCCATTGAAACTATCGATCTTCCATTTAAATCCATTAAAACTATCGATTTTCCGTTTAAATCCATTAAAACTATCAATTTTCCATTAAATCCATTAAAACTATCAATTTTCCATTTAAATCCATTGAAATTATCGATTTTCCATTTAAATTCATTCAAATCCATTGTAACTATCGATCTTCCATTTAAATCCATTCAAATCCATTGAAACTATCGATCTTCCATTTAAATCCATTCCAATCCAATAAAACTATCGATTTATCATTTAAATCCATTCAAAGCCATTAAAACTATCGATTTTCCATTTAAATCCATTCAAATCCATTGAAACTATCGATCTTCCATTTAAATACATTGCAAGTATCGATTTCAGGTGAGGTGAGCCGCCTCACCAAGAATCGATTCTTTGACATACGTCTAAATGGAGGAAAAGCCGTGTCGCCAATTTTCAAGAACATTTACTGATCTGTGCGATGCGATGGAGAAAATCGAAAAATACGTATCTCCATCTGTATAAATCGCATTGGGTGAACGTGAAGGGAGCTACATCTTCGACATAATTCATTTTGCGTGCGATCGATTTATCTGAAATTTTCAGCATTCGGTGGTGAATTTTGAAACAGCCGAGGTATTGATCTTCGGATATGATCATACTACGGTTTATATTTTGAGAGCTGAAATAAAGGCTGCAAAAGCACTGTTCTTGGTTGTTCGATTAATCGAAATCGGGAGAGACTCTCTCGAATCGAAATGCAGGTCAAGAGTTACGCAAATTACTTTGCCGTCCCCTCCCCTCCCTCCACCCACGAAGGAAAATTGTATCAAGGCTTGAAAAGCTCGCTGTCAGGCTGGTATTTCAGCGAAGTTATTCCGTTCATGTCAGACACAGTATATATTTTAGAGAAAAAGTCCCTGCTGCTCCAATCCGAGTAGTGTGATAGACTGATTTTGATAGCGAAACAGTGCAGTTATATATATTATTATACTGTTCTGCCTAGATATTGCACAACACATAAAGAAAAAATAGGTTTTTATCTACGTCGCATACAGTGTAGCGACCTTCAGCCGAAGTCAGGCATGAAATTGTATACTGAAATCGGAAATGTTTATTTTTATTTCGTCTTCCTTAACATTTGGACGTATTTCTACCAAACAGACCTATGTGGAGGTGAGAAATATGGAGTGTGCTCGTTAGTTCTCTTTGCGTAAGAGTGAATGGGAAATATAAAGCGCCAGTGACGTCAGCGGCGACGAAGCCCTTGCGGCAGTTCCGGGCTCTCCTCGGTCGGCTTTAACTCATGAACCCTGTCCACAACGCTCTCTTGCCATGTCCGCGGCTCATGAATCCCGCATTCAGTTGGCACATAGGTCTGTTTGATAGAATGTAAAATCCCGCTTTTCCAATTCTTCAAAAGGAATCACGCCCACTTTTACATTGCTTCTTATGCAGCTTCGACGAGCACACCCCATATTTCTCCCATGCACATAGGTCTGTTTGGTAGAAATACGTCCATTTTAAGGGTTGCTTTGATACGGAAATTTTAGCGAGAAATCAATGGGACCACTTTTTGACTGCTCTGTTTTGTATCAACGAAGAAAGAGGCTTTTGATCAAATGTATTAATGCATTTAACGTTTAGAACAACAAGTTTTACCTGAAAACTATTTCAAATTATGTCTTTTTGGCCTTATGGCTTATCTTCAATTGTCAGGGCATTTCACTCAAATGTGTCAGGGAAATCAGGGAAATTTCAGGGAATTTCATTTCCCAAATGTTTTGGTAACCCTGGTTCTGGCGAATTGGTTTCCTGCGTAAATTATTCAAGGAATCAATACTCAGGATTTGAGAACCTTCTTCCCACCCGCATTTTCAGCGGTATAAGTGTAGCTCCTGAATTATTCCGAGTCGAATTCGGGAAGCTTTACAAAACGCCCGGAGATTTCATGAGGCCCGAAACTGGAACAAAGTGCAGTTGATGAGGTGAGAGAGGAGGCAAGAAAAACACCGAGAAAACGTGTAGATAAATTATTCACCCTTGGTTCCCCCAAGACGGTCTTCGGGTCACTAAATGCCTTTCCGTTCAATCACCCTCCTTCAATCTTGTTTACGCTCCTCCGGAGGGACCTGCAGTTGACAAAATTGCCTTTTCATTGATTCTAAAATGTTCCGTGCGGCACTTCTGCTCGGGGAGGCTGAGATGATGAACGCTGGACCAAAAAACCAGCATCTCGAAGCAAAATGGTAGGCATCATGGTTATAATACCCAGTTCAGCAATACACGTAGGCGGATCCAGCAATTTGGCAACACCGGATTTCCTCCATTTGAACCTATGTTAAATAATCGATTCTTGTCGGAGCACCTGGTCCCTCTTAGAATCGATACATTTCCATAGGTTTAAATGGAGAAAAACAACGTTGCCAATTTGCTGGATCCGCCAATGGCAATACATCAACGATGAGTCTGTTGCGCTGGTCACAAAATCGAGTTTTGATGCTTGATTCTTGCAGATTACCTTAAAATAACAAGAATTGTTCAAACTTTGTTCAATATTAACCGAACGGTAGCGCTTTGAAATATTCGGTTCGTAACGTCGTTCACCATAGCAGTGACGCCTCTGGTTTCTTCCATCTTGCTTTCATTTGAGTTTCACGTTGAGCAACCGGTGCAAAATCACCGGTTGACGAATCCAAGGTGGAGAAGATCATGGTCTCCATAATCGCGGTAGATGACGTCATAAACCGAATTTTTCAAAGCGCGATATCCCGGTTAATATTCAAAGGAAAAAATTGCTGTTTGGACAGATCGTATTATTTTTAGCTGATCTGCTGAATTGTATATTGATTGATGTTAAAAGCTTAACTTAAGTAGCAATTTCCAACGGAAAAATTGCGATATTTTGAGATTAAGTTCCGATTTCTTACAACTTTGTGGTGATAAAATCGCTAAGATCATCCGCATCTGAGCGATTATCCTCCATCTCGTCGCACTTTTATCTCTATAAAATCGTGTTCGATAAAATCTAAATTTTATCTCGATGTCCTGATTCTTTGTTAGATACTATTGCATTGAATCGCCGTCGATAAAATTGCGATTTTATTGCAAATTTTAGCGATGACGTCACAATTTTGTATTCGATCATTTCGCAATTTTTTATTCGATCATATCGCGATTTTTTATTCGATCATATCGCGATTTTTATTCGATCAAATCGCAATTTTTCATTCGATCCCTATCGCAATAAATTGACGTCGATAAAATTGCGATACATCCTCCGATCAAAGCGCAACTTACCGTGATCGCTGCTGCAATCGGGAAAGGGAGAGAAACATTTTCTCTCTTTTATTTTATTTTTACTAAAAAAAAAAATGTCTAAACTGTTTCAGAGCGAGCAGAAGCTTTAATAGCGGAGAACGGGCAACAAAAAGACCGAAAGAAGAAGAGGCGAAACTCTCTGTACCGGAACGTAGGATCTTTTTGCTGCATTTGCCGGCCGAACTTCTTGTGATCACCTTTGCTCCTAATTACACCCACGTACTTCTACAAAGAACTAATTAGATTAGCTCCCGCTCCTCACGAGAGAAACTCGATTATGTGTACATTTCCACCGCCCGTTTTCTCCGCTCACGAGAGGAAGTCTACAGAATCAACGCTCTGTGGTATACGAAAGACGTCGATAGGAATGGTCGTGAAACCAGTTGCAATTCATGAAAGTTGGCAACGCTTTTTTCCTCCATTTAAATCCATTGAAAATATCGATTTTAGGGGAGCAAGCTGCCTCTCTATGAATCGATTGTTTTACATACATTTAAATGGAGGAAAAACAGTGTTGCCCGATTAAAAAAAATTGCCACCAAGCAAAACATGTATCTTGATCTGAAGGCTTCATTTGGGGAGAGCACAAAGGAGAGGCGTGTATGATCGATTATTGATATTTTCCTATTTGAAGCCACGGTAAAGAATCGATTATCACGGTGCTCGTTGCGAACACCCTCTTTATCGATCCTTTTCCATCGGTTTAAATGGCAGATCAATTGATCTATCGCAAAGCGATTACTCCCCAACCCCGGCATTTTAAATTTGATCTCTCAAGGGGAAATTTTGATCATTTTTAGAGCGTTTTTGGGATTTTCTGAATCCCGATTCTGCCCCCATCTAATCAAACTGCCCTCTTTTAAGAACTTCCAAAGACTTTTTAGCGTTCCAGCGGTACTGATAAGGATTTTTGTGCTCTTCCCAGATTTTTTTCTCAATTCATGAAGCCAATAGGCAAAAGTCCGAAAAAGCTGATCTCAGTTTGAACATAATCATATTGTTTACTATACGCATACTTTCTATATGCAACTAAAACTTGTCAAAAAGCACTGCAAAACGGTTGGAAGTTCAGTGGTTGTGTTTGTACGATAAATCATAGTTTTTGTAAAGTATCCTCTGCGAAATTTTCTTAACTTGATCTTAGCATGAGTATGATATAACAAATCCGGTAAAAGATATGAGCCTTCCTTGGAACGTGTACACATTTTTCAAACTTTCTTTTAGTAATTCCATCCAAGCGAATATGCCTTGTAAGGCATTGCACACTGAGTGTTTACACTCATTCGCAGTAACATATGAATATTTTGCAAATCATGTACGTGATGCATTTTTTCCACTGGAAAAAAATACCCTACGTCAATTCTGTAAAATGTATTTGTATTATAAATCTTTTTTATGACGCTATTGTATTTTAAAACCGGATATTGCGCGTTTTCTTATGAATGGAATACAAATAGATCAGAAGCAAAATTATGAATATGTTTGATACTGAAGAGTCTTATAATTTACTGAGCATTAAAAGGTATCTCTCAGATTGTTTAATGAACCGATTTGATCATTTCGTATTACAGATTTATTCACTTTACATGTAGGTAAATCAATATGTATGTATCACTACAGATTATGAACTTTCGTAGGTACTGCAAGTCAACACGTTGAGTTCGAAACAGTAACCATACAAACTGTTTAGTTCCACCTCTTAATAAAATACATAAATTTTCTTTTTGACTGGTCCAGCTCTTGAGACTACCGGGATGTCACTATCTTACAAAGTTTCAAAATCTTTCAGTTCTGATTGTAGAAAGACTATGCACGATTTTTTTCGAGGTGAAATTCATAAAATATTATCTGCATAGTGATAATGGACATTTATTAGATCTGCTTGGATATGCAGCGATTTTATAAATACCATACAAATGAAAAATTGAGACCAGCCTCAAAGGGAGAAGAATGGTAGTGTTTTCATTTGGTATCGTAGATTTCCGATTTTCTTGGAATGGTGAATCGGTTTTTTTTTTGGTAAATTTCCTAGATTTCGGAAACTTTTTCTCCTGTGATATCCTGATTGAGTGATAAAAACGCCAATTACGCGGCACGGCTACCAATTGAAACTTCTCCACAGAGATCCTATTTTTTTCTCTCTTTTTCTGTTCAAAAGTAGATAGTAGACTTATGAAGTCAGGGTGTTTACAGGTCCGGAATTTCCGGAAAGTCCAGAAATTGCACTGGTTTTTTAAGGAGCCGTCCGGAAGTACTGAAAAAGTGCGAAAATTCCGCGAGAAGGTCCGGAATTTTTGTCATTTTTGTCGCAATTCGAGCGACGAATTCAAATTTTTGAAATTTATCGAAAATCGTCAAATGGTGGTCCGGAAAAAGTACCGAATTTTTCTGTTAAGGAGGTACTGAATTTCTTCGAAACGTACTGCAAAGTACTGTAAAAGTACTGATTTCCGGATTACTGTTTTAGTAGACACCCTGAGGAAGGAATTAGAAGAAAATGCAATTGCAGTGAGTGAAAGTTTTGAATGATACCATTTCCCAGATTCTCTTATCCCAGTACTTCCTTTTACTAGGTCCTCTTCAAATATAGTTCACAAATGTACCTTTAATTAGAATTACTTAACTTTAATTATGACTCCAAAATGTACATGCTATAGGTACTGATGATTCAATTTGAAAATCACTTTTAGGCATTTCGTGTATATTCGATAGTTGTTATTTTTAACAGTGTTATTTTTCTTGTCTTTGTTATACCTAATTTTAGTCAGTTATTATCAATTATCACGACTACTTGCGTTGTTCACCACTATTGAAATTCAAATATTAAAACTGAGGACCAATTGTTTGGCTCTTTTTTCCCCCTACATTGATTACATTCTTTCTCCTCGAAAAATAATCAGGGTTTCTAGCATCAGGATTTTCCCGATTATCCCGATATTATCAGGATTTGAGGTCCATCAGGATTTTAGAAAAAATCGGTCGTAAAATCAGGATTTGAGAAAAGTCGGCCGTCCGATCGGACTGCTTTCCCATAGGCTCATGCAGAAGTTTTAATTTTTCTCTACTAAAAATCAGGATTGGATCATTGGAAAAATTATGAAACCAGGATTTAGCAGTCAAAAATCAGGATTTCCCAAAATGAAAAAAACTAGACACCCTGATAATGCTGCACGGAAAGTATGCAGATTGTTCGTTGAAATTGCGAGAAACAGATGTGTGAAATAGAAGATCATACAATTTGCAGTGTCCATACACGGCATATATGGACTACATTTTGCAATAAGGAACCACTATATCTGGCTCCTCCATAAAAACACCTTTCCGCATAGGGGAACCAATGGCACATATCGACGGTGAAAGTCGGCAATCACATAACTCGTTTGCGATGTCTGAAAATCTCCGCCTCTGCATCATTTTTTTAAAGGAGAATAAATTGATATTATTTCTTGAAGTTTTTGCAGAATTTTCTTCGCATTGAGAAGAAAAATCATGACAGTTTTAAAGAATTGCCGTTGAGTAGTTTTCCATTTAAAAAATAAAGTATGACAGGAAGTCTGCGACGTCGCAAACCGAGTTATGTGATTGCCGACTTTCACCGTCGATATGTTGTTTCTAAAATGAGCCAGAAAAAGTGGTTCCTTATTGCAAAATGTGGTCCATATGTTCATATATGCATACAAGTTCAACAAGATGAGCTTGCGGAAAACAAGACCACAGCAAGAACACAAGAATTTGAACCGTTTAGCCGATTACGCAGTCGTTAATGGGTGGTTTGGCCGTTTTCTGGAATAGTTTTGTCGCCGTGACAGCTAAAACATTTTTCGGTCATATTTTTAGTAGAAATGATAATCACTCGAATTTTTTCGCTTTAGTCTTCAAAAGGTTACGTGTGATAACGCTTTCTAATGATTTATTGCTCTGCTTCCCAATTAACATTATGTAAATTCCGAAAATGTGATGACTGTTACGCAGTAAACAGTCAGCGTAACATACAGCACATTTTCGGTCATTTATATATAAGATTTGAAAAATAGAACGATAAATATTTGAAAATTGTATTAATGCAAAAAAATTCGAGTGATTATCATTCCTACTAAAAATATGACCAAAAAATGTGTTGTCTGTTACGGTGACAAAACTATTCCACTTATCGTGAAACCACCCTAATTATCGAGAATGCTATAAATTTTAAAAGAATAATATAAATTATTCACCTGCAAGACAAAAGAAAAGAATTTATGATAAGAAAATATGTAAACCAAGTAACCTAGAGGAAAACGAAAGGTTTCAGGACATTCCGTCAACGATTTTTTGTCCGCACTACTGTTTTGTCCAGTAGTTGACGTCCACGCGTAAAATAAGCAACAGTGACATGGTCCAAGCGTTATATTTGAGTCCGCACGAAAAGTTATATCGGCAATATCGAAATGAGAAAATTAAGAGAGAAGGAGGTGTTGTTATGGAACTATTTTTTTGAATGAAATGTTACTTTCTTCTTCTGATTCATCCTTTCAAATTGTCATTGGTGAATTGGTTTTATTTCTATCCTTAAACTTTTCAATATAAAGTATACCTTATGTATTACTTTTTTCTCTCTCTTTCTTTTTTTCAATGAAAATACTACTTTCTTTAAAAGAACATTTACATTTTTAAAACGTGGCAAATATTTGTAAAACCTGTTCCGAGCGATGGCATTGATGTTTATCTCAATGAGCCGTAGTTGTATCGAAAGAAACTTTACAAAAATTAATAAGAGAGGAAACAAAACCAAAAAGTACGCAATCTTTAGTTTTAACCCAATTGTACATTGCTCTTATAGACTTAAATACGACCAATTTTAAGCGTTTAGTTGTGCGTGTACCACGCTGCAACATAGTAAAAGCACAACACGTGAAATAAAAAATTTAAGTGCTTTGGAAATCATCAAAGACGACACGGAACCACCTTAATATTTACAAAACACACATTATATTTTCCTTTAATATATATTTTTTTTATCAATTTAAATGAGGTTAACCCATGCAGATTGTGCAAACATTTCAAAATCATGCGTTGGAAAACGCTGACTCTGCGAGTTCAAATATTGGAGCCTTACAGAGCGGAGCGGCGTGCTTCCAGCGCGAAACGCGCGTTGGCGCCTACAAACCTAACAGGAATACTTCACGCATTGCGCAATGCGTGAAGTATCCCTGTTAGGTTTGTAGGCGCCAACGCGCCGCAGCGTGCCACGGCGCCACAAGCAACTATTTCACAACAGATGTGTTGCACAGTATCATGCGAGATTGAACGCGCTCCAACATATTATTAATGACAGTCATCTTTTAAGAGTACGGACCTTTCCTCGCGAAATAAATCAAGATACTGCGGCACAAAAAGAGAGCGGTAGTCCAAAAACTCTCCAAGTCTTAGCATCCGTATTTCATAACGTTTAGCATAATTTTTGAATTTCATTAGAGAAAAAAGTGACTCGATTTAGGCGGAAAAATTCTTGAGTATGTCGTCAAGAAGGTTTTATTTAGAATCAAGAATAAAACAGCTGAATGAAAGCGGGTTTCTGCTTGATGTAAGTGACTTTTTCTTTTTATTGAAGCATATTTTCCTCTTTGAACAAGCATTATTTTTTTTATTGATTCATGAGGAAATCTTCTTGACTGTAAACTATTTCTGTTTGAATCAAGACAATTTTCCCTCTGAAGAAGTTCAAAAATTATGCTATACGTTATTGAATACAGAGACTAAGACTTCGTAAGTTTTCCGACAACCACTCTCTTTTTTTGTCGTTGTCACTCCATTTAATTTACGAGGGAACTTCATGCTTTTGAAAGATGCCATCAATCATGATACATTTGGGTGCTTTCTATCTCGTATGATATTGTGCAACACCTCCATGGCGAAATAGTTGGTCGAAGTGCCTTTGGCACGCCGGCGCGGCACCGTTGTGAAGTTATCGTACACAGGAAAAATTTAAGAGCCTTTAGCTGAAGCAAATCCTACGGTTTATCCGGTTCATGTGTAACAAGATGGGATTTCGTTGAAAGATAATCAAGTCCTGTTGCACGAAAGAAGTGTTGAGAGTTTAATTGAATTTTCCCTCGTGGATTTGCCGCTCCCTGCATGTTTACCAAAAGTCTCAATAATTATATATTTTTCCCCGTCAGACCAAAAAAAACAAAAAAAACAAAAAAAAACAACAAGCAACCCCTTATTTTTCCAAGACAGTATACATTTTCATCCAAAACCGTTGTGAGCAATTGTCGTTTGTAATTACATGTGGACCAATTAACTTTGGGTCTCAATTGGTAGGTTAACCAAAACTCCTGTGCCGAAAAAACGCGTGGACGTAAACTACTAGAAAAGACAGGCGCGCGGACAAAAAATCGTTGACGAAATGTCCTTTAACCAGACGAAAGTTTAATGCTACAATTGTTGCATACGCAACAAATTGCAGGCGTCTCTATTGAGAGACCGAGGTACGAAGATAAAAGCTTAAACAAATATTAGCGTAAGAACGATCTGGCCGCTAGTAAATTTGAACCGTTTCTGGATTTATACTTTCTAAAAATAAAGTTGTCTGCAAAGTAATAAATACTTATACTTTTTCTGTCGAAGTAGTAACAGTGCACATTTAATTTATAAGACTTCCAGAAGTTTTTAGATAATGACCAAACAAAAATTCCCTTAAAAACTGCTGTACTACTGTTGGTGCCGAACTCCTTTTCGACCAGAGAAGATACCGCACAGGTCAATATAATTCCCTCTTGGATTTTTGAAGTAAATATTTAAAGCCACTTAAAGTAGATAATAACGCACCTTCTTCAGTGATCTATCTCCTCCTCCACAGAGATACTTGTACTTCTTAATTGAGTGAGAACGATGAGATAGGTGGCAATTGCTCCAACGATCTTTGAAATATAAAACAATTGTGAGTGTTAAATGTGCTCAGTCCATTTAAACCATTGATTGAATCGTTTGCCTTAATGATTCCCTACTATGGAGAGTGAAATATAGACTCAAATCTGCCATATTTTCTCACTGGAAAATAAAAAAAAAAACACACATTGGATCTAGAGTCCAGACTCTTGAAAACATTGACAAAAAAAATACTCTTGATTCAATCAGATTTTTGCTTAAATCAAAAGGAAATCCGCTCAATTTGAGAGGCTTGGTTCTTGATTTAAGAAAAAATCCGATTGAATCAAGAGTATTTTTTCTTGTCGATGTTTTTAAGAGTCTGGACTCTAGATCCAATGTGGTTTTTCTTTTTTTCCAGTGCTGGTCACGCTTGCAAAGAAATCAAGTTTACCAGGAGATCAACGAACTCGTAATGCTACAACGGTTGTTCAGCTATGTTTTTGTTTTTGATCGGAGAAAAAATAACTGGGAGCATGCAAGAACATGCTGTGTGAGAATCATTATGATTACACTTACTTCCGGTGTGGAAGTATATACATCGGTTCAAAACTTTGGTCTAATTGCCATAACAGAGGCAAAATGCAAAATCCAGTGGAAAGGCATGCTTTGCGATTTATAGATTGATCTGCCATTGAATCCAATGGAAAAGGATCGATAAACAGGGTGTTCGCGACGAACACCTTAGTAATCGATTCTTTACCATAGCTTCAAAAGCAGGAATACCCATCGATGGTCGATCATTCACGCCTTGCCACTGGCGAAATCTGATTGGTGTTGCGATGTGTTCAACTCCTCCCTGCTAAACTTAGCCATGGAAATATTTCTTAATTTTGTGTTTGCCTATCTTGCAAACTATATCGATGACTAACCTGCGAAACCAGGCATCACCGTTGCAGTGTTTAATAATTTCGGCTCCTCTTTTACTTTTTCGAAGAGAAACATGTCAACCG